CTTTTTATTTGTTTCTTTTTGGCAACTAATCGTTATGCGATATTCCACTGCACAGCGCCAAAAAATTCTTAGAAAACTGAAAGATTTTCTTACATTTTTTCTAACTAACTCAAATAAACGTATAAATATTTTGAGGGGCTGCACTTAAGAACTAAACTACTCAAATCGATATGCGCCTGGTAAATTTATGGTATTTAAATCGATATTAAAAAACGTAATTTTTCGACGATTTCTCTCTCCCTTTTGGAGATTCTCTTATCATTCATTTCTCACAGTGCACATTTATTGGTCTACTGATCCCTATCCTAGGGGCAATTTCAATCCGTCATTCTTCATTAGCGCCTGTCACTCGATTCTCGACTCTCGAGTGGGCGAAAATTATTATTGATATCCCGACTGCCGACTACCGGCCTGCGGCCCTTAGTCATAGACACTTGAGCCACTTCCACGTAGAGCCCAAAATGAATGGCCATAAACCGAATGAAATTAAACGAAAACGAAACGAAACGAAACAAAGAAAAAAATCCCTAAAACTCGTGGTTAGTTGGCTTTTATTACCTGCTTTTCCGCGTAACTCTTTTCCAATCATTTTGGAATCGCTGAATATTTACGATCGCCGGCATCGCGGCATCGAAATCACAGTCCACATAATCACGCGCTAATAACCGCGATAAGTTGGCCACCGGCTACCGAATTCTCCGATAGGATGAGCCATTAGCCGAACTGAAAAAACAACCGACCGACAGAAATAACCACCCACCACCCACCGCCCTCCGAACGCCCTTCGATCAACCCGTGCGCGTTTATTAATTAGAATTTATGGTCCGGCTATTGTCGCGTCCATATAGAGACAATAAATAGCCGTTGTATATGTTGTTGGAAGTGGGAATGGGAATGAGAATGGGAGTAGGAATGGTAATGGAAATGGAACTGGAACCCCCTAATCTTATCGTTCCGGCTCAGCTCTTCAGTTCTTCAAACGTTCTTTCGGTCTTTCGACAGCTGAAGAGCTCTCCCTATCGCCCAGGAGCGGTTGTCCCGCCAGATCCGTCGAGATCTAAGCGATATGGAATTGATTTAGGGAATTTTTGATCTTAAAGGGTATTTGGGATAAGGAATATAAATGAGCTTTATCCTGAAATTGAAATTTATATTTAATTATAAATTCTTTAGAATCTTAATTTGTATTTTAATATATTTCATATTTTTAATAAATTTCCTATAAACTCCCTAAAGCGATATATTGATCCTTTAGTGGTATGATCCGCCCCTGAAATCTGCCACACGCCCCATGGGCAATCGGGGATTTAACTGCCACGCCCACCTGCCAACTGCCTTTTGCCCACCAGCTGCTTCTTCTCTCTCTGCTTGGTTATCTTGTGGCCCCTCGCGTCAAATTGGCAAGAAATCTGGCCAAAATGAGTTAACAGAAAAAATAAAATAAAAAAATATATAATAATGCGGCTGGGGCGCAATGGTCGTCGCCCTATCTCTATCTCTGTCCGATTATTTACAGTTAGCTCCGGCCAGGCGATAACCTTGCCCACATATATCTTGGCCAGCTCTTGGACCGCCATTTGCGATTACCTGGTGGCGGTGGCGACGGCGACGTCGACAGCGACAGCGACAGCGACGCCTGCCACTAATCACTCCAATTAGCTAGAAAGTGCTTTTCGTTTAAAATTCGCACGTTGTCGCAGTTTCTTGGCATTGTACTGCGAGGCTCTGAGACAGCCGCACTTGGCCATTTGGAGTTCCCTTTTAGCTTGCTTCAGGCCAAAATTCAAAAGTAATTCCAAATTCGAGCCTCCGAGTTCCGTGTTCCCCGTCGACCAACCGAAGGATCCGCATTTTTTTTCGCCCGAAACCAAATTGTGAGTGTGTCCCTTCAAGAATAAAAAAACAAAAAAATAAAGTGAAGATCCTGAAGATCTTAAAATCCCATAGACATCATAGACCCGAAAAAAAACCGAAACAAACAAAAAACCCATAAATACACTAAAACCTAGTTCAACGAATCGAAGCGAAAGAGAGAAACATAAAGCATTGCAAATAGCCAAATTTGAATGCACAAAAAATAACAAATTGAACAAAATTGTAGTATGTAGTAATAAAAATCAAAACAAGACATTTGCAAGCCGACAAACTTGAGTTACTCTATAAAAACAAATAATTAAATATACGTACAACTCGTTGAACAAGTGCTATAAAGTATACAGTTTAAGGTTTTCCACTGACTATAGATTTTTTTGTTTTTCAATTCCGGAAACTGAAGCAGTTCCGCGTGTCACAGGAAAAGTCTTAAATTCAATGCATAAAAACAATTCGTTTTAGAGGCTTTTTTGAAAAATGTTTAAAGTACTGATATTAATTGGAAAGATTTTATAAATATTTTCAAAGATTTTAAATAATTTAGAATGCTCTTAAACAGCTTAACAATATAATATTTACTAATTAAATTGATTTTATAATATTTAATAATATTAATAATAATATTAAGAGTTCAGATATAAATTTGAAAGATTTTACAAATATTTCCACAGATTTAGAATGTTTTAAAATATTTGCTTAAGCAGCTCAACAATTTAATATTTAATAATTAAATTCATTTTTCATATTTCATTTTTTTTTACCAAAGTAAAATATAGTGATGGTTTAAGGGCATTCCAAAAATGTGAAAAAAATGCAAAAAGAGGCAGCTTAGGTGAAGGGCCCCGTAGCAAAATGGAAATAATAAATAAAAGCCAGCGAATGAATAACATATAACAAAAAAAATCAACTTTTGGCACCAGCCAATTTGTAGGCCACTTAAGTCCCGATCTACGCGCAGCGAAGATAATGCAGATTGTCTATAGCCCATTTCGATTTCGAAACGCGATGGAAAGGGAAATACGAAATACGAAATACGATTCGTCGTCGTATTCGCATTCGCATTCGTGTGTTATGGAGTTCCCGACTTTGATGAGTGCGTTATTTCGCTAGAATAATAATTGAAATTGAAATGCTTTTTTTAATGACGTTTGGCGCGTGTCGCGCTTTTATATGTATATGTTTAATATATATAGAGATAGATATCAACAAATTAACCCACACGCAGCAGCCATAAAAATCTTTGGCTCAAATGTAGAGAACTGCCAATTGCCGGCCAAATTCGGATAATAGATATAGCTGCATATATATATTATTTATATAACCGCTGGCGGCGTTTTCGGTTTCATTCCTCAACGGATCATCAGATATCTGATATGTGCAATCGGGGAAATCCGCAATCGGCTAATTGAAAAGCTCGAGTGAAAACAACACGTGCTGGCCGAATATTCTGGCATGCCAGCCCAAATTCTATATATTTCGACTTTAGCCAGCTGTTTGGCTTTGAGATAATTAGCATTAGACGGCGGCGAGTTTGTTGTGATGACGTCAGTCGTCGCCAGTAGCAAGTTCTTTATGAGCTCTATTAATTATGGCCAGGTTTCTGGATTTTTTCGTAAATAAAAGAGTATCGACTAAGAAACGAACTGCGTCGTATTACCTGCGATAATAACCGAAACCGAATCGTAACACATACTTAAGCCCAATAATCGATTATTGTGTGGGATATATGTAAACCTACATGCCATGTAAATATTAGATCACAGTGACTCCGTTCTCGTGCACTTTTCACGCTACAAAGTCAGCTGTCAGCGCCATAACACCAAGTCCCCAAGTCCCCATATATAATGGCCATATAGTCACATGCCGGACGACAGTGACGATTCCACGGATTGCATCATGGTGACTTTTGAAATGTTTAGGACACTTGGCAGTGCAGTTTCCACATCATTAGGGTCGTCATAAGTCGCGGTCGAACTAATCACTCAAGTTCTTCATAATAAAGTCACAACTTACTTACTGAGACTTGAACATAAATGGGAAAATAAATTTATAGCAAGTACAAAAAAGTAGTGAAAATATTAAAAAATATTTCTAGGGAATCGGAAAGTAAATTTAAATTATTTTATAGATAATCATAAAATATCAATTAAAAATATTCAAAAAATCCCAAAAAAATTCCCGCCTATAAAAATATAAAAATACACCTGGTTCCAGGAAAACAGATAAAAAACCTGCATTTAGTTACAGTTCACCGATCCACACGTGACTGCAAATAGCAATCATTAGGCTAGGCCATCGATATTTTTGGTCTATATCCTCATTTCTCAGCAGTCGTTTCGTTTTTTTTTATTTTTCCCACTTAGCATACATGAATATTAATTTATGCAGAATTGTAAAAAGAAACCGCACCCGGCGATTATCAGCGGCATGATTATAAGTCATAAAGTTTTTTAAGTTTTTTAGTATTTGGCATTTTTATGCTGGAGTTTTGTTTATTTCTGTTAGCATTGTTATTATCGTTTATTTCTGCCGTCTATTTCCTTTGAGAATTTCTATGCCAATGTCTGGCCATAAAAAGTTTACCCAATTTTATTTTTATTATCATTACTGGTTTTTTGTGAGTTTTTATTTTTTGTATTTGTGTCGTCGGGGGCTTCATTGTGTTTTGTCGCTTCAGTTGAGGGGCCTGAATAATAGTTTTGGATACCGCCTAATATGCAATTAATTGGACATGAACTTGAACTGCGGTCGAAGCGAAACAAAAAGGGGGGGCGGGGGATGTCAATTATAAACAATTAGACAATGGCAAAATTGGTAACCAACCGATGGGAACGCGGGCCAAATGAATGGGGAAGACTTTGCCAGAATGCTTCTGAATCTCAAACAGATTCGCAATTGTTCCTGGGCTATAATGTATATAGAATATTTACCGACTGTACTGTCAGTCAGTCAGTCTACGAAATTTCCAACAATTATGGCTCGCTCCAGGCAATTTTCAATAACGAAAATCTTTTTATATTGAAGTTATTATTATTATTTATTATTATTATTATTTATTGTTCAAAACAAATGGCTTTGTAATCGTCTAATGGTGTTACATATCTTTCCTTCTCTCTCTGTCTTTGCAGCCAACTTTTCCCTTGGGTTAATTGATTAACCAGGCCCAAATAAATACGAAAGGGAGCGGAGAACACAAAGAGCCAGCAAGATGACTGGTTTCACGAACGCCGGTTTCGAGAACGATGAGCCCGTCAAGGTGAGTGTTTTTTTGGGTCTGAAATTGGGAATCTGGAATCCGGAGTCCCAAGTCCCAAGTAGTTCTTACCTGATGATTTTCACCTCCTCATTCATCTTGAACAAGTGCTGGACACGTCAACGTACCCATAATGAAATCACCGGCCCACAAATCTTGTAAACAAAGGCAGGCCAAAAAGAAATCACGAAATGAGGCTTATTATTTCGAGTTCTGCATAATTAAATGACAACTCTTCCGCAATTATTTAACATTTGAAGGCTTCAGGAAGTCCTATACCAAAGATAAGGCGGGAACCTCAATTCGTTACTTAGTTCTGTTGGTTCTCCTTGTTTTTTTTCCTCATTGCTTATCCCAAGGAACTCGAGTACCAAGTTTCATAAAGTTATCTCGCAAGGTTTCTTAGTTCCAATAGAGCACCTGTATTCATTTATTTATATTTGTATCTAGATAAAGAGAACCATTAGCTGATTAATTAGGTTTATTGGGGTAATTACAAAGAAATCAATTAGTACAGACTTTTAAGCACAAAGAACTTGGAGCTCACACACACCTAGATCGAGTTTCAATCGGACTGCTCGGGTTTTTCCCGGGTTCGCATAGAACTTTTCGAATTGACCATAAACCCGGCCACTTGAGAATTGTTGTCACATTCTCGCATAGCCGGCCGTCTCGTTTTCGATTTTGGCATTCATTCATGCGCGGACCGAACTGATATAGCATTTGATATAGCATATAGCCATATAGCCTATAAGCTGGATTACACTTATCGAGTGTCTGGGCCGCTTGTTTTGTTTTTACCTTTTTTTCTTTTCTTGTGTCGTTTGGTATTTGGTATTGTATTGTTTTGATGTTGAAGTTGAGTTAATGACTGTGTTTGCCTTCGCCAAAGAAATCATGTTTTATAATGACACGCGTCACAGTTTTTACGATGGCCCTGCTTATAATGGGAGGAAGTGTCCAATAAACCGAAAAATCGACCAATCGAAAAATCGAAAACCCGGGCGAACTGAGCTAAAACTCGGATGGCGATAATTCCGATGGTCATTAGCATTTCGTTTGGCCACTCCTTTCTTGGCATTTAATGAGGCGAAATAAATTTCACCTCAAGAAACCAAAAACCAAAAGCCAAAAACTTAAAACCAAGAGACAGAAAAAATCCAAAGACCCACGCGAGAAGGCTGGAAAGCAGAAAAAGAAATGTGACAGCAGAAAGCGCTCCCCACACACATATTTATGGATATGTCTTAGCCACAAACTTGACCAGCCCGCTGATGGCCAAGCGATTTGGCAATAAATAAGGTAACAGAAACAGAAACAGAAGAAAAACAAAATACAAAACCAACAACCAACAAGCAACTAACGACAGACAAAAACGTATTGCACAATTAAAGCACCGACAAGGTTTCATAATAAAATATTGCCAATTTACAATGGCCCACCCCCTCGCAAGAGACACCCATGCCCCCGCCCCACCCTGTGTAATCGGTTCTTGAGAGACATCGAAACCAAACTCGTTTTCCTCGCTTTGCTTTGGTCAACACAGAACCGCAGCCGCCAAAAAAAAAAGAAAAATAATACCAAATTATAAAAGAAACCAGAGAACGTCCAGCTAACAGCAAACTTACAACGGCGGCCAGCAGACTAATAATTTCCATCAAAAAGGAACTCATTTTGGGCTTAAATATTTGTAAATTCTGAATAGCGTTTCCTTATAAACTAAACTATCATAATTATTTATACTATCTCAAAATAAACCAATCATATTTAAGAAACAACCCTTTTATGAACTAAAGAACTAAAGCTAAAGATTTACTATATCATTTCAAATCCTTTATAAGGCCTATATGATTTTCTAAGGCCATTTTGCTTGACCGCTGCTGTATGTAAAACACCAAAGCCAAATGGCATGTAAAATGTGTAGTGTAGTGAAGGGGATTTCCAGGGGGGAATTGTGGGCTTTGCTGAGCTGAGCAAACACGAAACGTGCCGCGTTTAAAAATAAAACGCAAATCTCGTGCGGCGCAGCGCGTGCGCAACATGTTGCAGTAGGTCGCCGGCAACATGTTGCCGAAATAGTCCAAGTTACACGGAAAAAAATGAGGTATATTTGTTCTTTTTTTGTTATATTATTATTGAAAATTTATTCATTCACATCTTGGTGATTTTTTAGTTATTACAATCCATACATAGTATTTAATATCAACATCTTTGTGGGGTTTTTTGTAATAAAGAAATTATAATAATATATTTATGGTCCTTTTTACACTTTTGATTCTCTTTCAATATTTCAATATTTTTTATTAATGATGAATTTATTATTTTTGAATTATTTACTAGAAGATAGTAATTTATTTTCAAAATTATTCTTTAAAATTTTGTGAAATCTTTTAAAATCAACTAAAAAATTCTAGAAAGCGGCAACTTTTTCTCTGCGTGCATTCACGCAAACACACTTGAAAAAAATGTACACAAAATCAACACACACCTGCGGCCACACTCGAAGCGACGGTCCGCTCACCTGGCCGCTTTTAACTGGTTTGCGGCGGTTTTTGTTTGTCTCGGTCTCTGTCTCTGTCTCCGTCTCTATCTCCCTCTCTGTCTGCCCCTCTGTCTCCGGCTCCGTCTCTTTCCCTGTCTCAACTAGCGGCGTCGCTGCCAACACTCTCGCATATCATTATGGCCCCTGTGCACTGGCATTATTATTACGCGCACTTGTTTCAAAGCTCCGCTTGCCGTTTCTTTGAAAACCCAGAGAAAAATTAGAAAAAAAAGAAGAGACTGGAGAAAAAATGGGTGAACAAAATTAAATATCAGCTGTTAGCGGGAAAAGCATGCCACACACACACACACACACACTATGGGAAAAAAGGAAAAACAAACACAGACAGTTGAGAGTGGTTTTCCAGTTGGCTTTTTGTGCATTGTCATGATTTTTTTCCAGTTTTTTTTTGTATTTTTCTTTACCTACTTGCCATATGCTAGCCATATGCTAGCAATCGATAGCAGAAAATCCCTTAAAGTCTATCAAAACAAAACATTTTGCTGGAATTCTCAATTACAGTTCGCAGAAATTAATCAATTACTTTGTTTTCCTTTTGAGTTTGAATTTCAAGTGCTGACACAAAAATGCATTAAAATTCCCTTTAAATTACAATTATTTATGAATTAAATATTTATGCCATTTTGGTTATATTTCCGTTAAGTAACCACATTTTCGCACACATGGCGTATGAGCAATATTTCTGTTTTTCAAGAGTTTACTTGCACTTTATTGGCTCTTTTTACTTTTTACTTTTAATTTAACATTTCGGCGTTGTTACTTGCTAATTAAAGGCGACATTTAAGAGTTTCGTGTATTATTTCTTTTTTTTTCCCGTGTGTGTTTGCTGACGTTTTTAATGGTTTGCCATTTTTATTTTTTCTGCTTTTGTTTTTAATAAAAATTTAAATGCAATTTTATTATGCTGATAAGCAGCGAGGGGATTTTTGTATCTGAAATCTGTCTGCAATTTGCATACAAACAAAACGGGGTTTCTACAGCCCCCCAACTCGTCCCATCTACCGATCCATCGATTTCCTTTCCTTAACTTTAAAATCGTGTGAACAGCGGCAACTATTATGTGCTGTAATTAAGTTCATATTGTTGGCAGCAAGTGAACGAAACAGAAACAGAAAAATACAGAAAAATACAGAAAAATTGTAATCGATTGGTAGGGAGACTTGCATAACAACGCGTGTGGGTTAAACCGATGATCAGCAATCAGCAATCAGCAGCCCCCCTTTAGCGGCGCCCCTGACTGGCGATGTAACCTTCTTGCCCTGTGCGGTGCATGCGAAATAGCCATTTTCGGAGTGGCTTTGGGCCCGGGTCTTGCTCTCGGTCGGTTCTCGGGCACTACGTCCATTTTGATGGCCATTTTAGAGGTGATAGTGGCGATGGAGGCGATAGAGGCGAAAAACGGGACGCGCCACGCATGCGCAATGCGAAAAACGCGCGCGAAACGCGAGCAAAACGCGTGCGGACGTTTTAAATGGATATGGATTTCGGATCAGTCCAAATTTTTGTTTGGTTTTTAGAAACTAAAAGCGTAAAATGCGCCAACACATAAATAATTAATTAATGTGTAGTGTGTCGGGGCAGCGAACAAGACCAGAAAATGAAAGCTGCCCAGGGGCAAGTCGAAATGGAAATGCTCTATAAAATCGGTATAAATAAATATTAGATGTGCTAGAGAAAATAAGAAATTCACTGTTATTTTACCCTGCCAAAATGTTTCTGTAAATATTTAATCCTTCTTTTTTTTATAAATTTTGTAATAAACATGCAATTTTTTGCCGTGCATTTTATTTTACAACCCAAAGAAAATTAGTTTTGATTGCCGACAATTTAAAAAAATTTTGTTTTTATATCTAAAGGCATTATAAGAAAGTTAAAGCTGCTCCGAAAATGCGGAGATGAAAAAGAAAGTAGGATCATGATCATCCCATCCACTGAATCTTGCTGCACTCCTCGAAGATCGAAGATCTGAGATCCAAAATCCGAAATCCAAGATCTGCGGCAGCCAAAAACGAATGCCGATCTGTTGTTGCCACTTTGCTTACGATATCTTTTCTTTGCTTGTTTTTCGTTTATTTTTAGCCAAAAGCTGGTTTCGAGCCCGACACCGCCTCGCTGCGAGAGAAAGTTGTGCTGAATCCGGCCGAGAAATGGCGCATCTTAAAGAATATCTCGATCATCTCGATCGCCTTCATGGTGCAATTTACAGCGTTTCAGGTGAGCCAACATTGCCATTGCCAGGCGACAAAACTATTTTTAAATTTTTGGTAATGGGTATTAAAAAAAGAGTGGTAAATAACGTAACAAAGTTAAATCAAGAAATTATAATTATGTACATATGTTATATAACAAATATTTTAAATACATTTTATACTATAGTAAATATTATTAAATCAAAAAATTATAAAATCAATTTGGATATTTATTTTGGAATTTGTATTATAAATATTACACAAAAAGTATAGTTTACATACTCATTTCTTGTTATTAATTTTTAAAATCCATTATGACAGACAAAAATATTTATTTATTTAAAATATTATTAAATGTTACTAATATTTTAAATGTTTTATAAATATTCTCTACAAAGTACATATGTATTATATATTTTTCTAAACCAAATATATACAATTAATTAACAACAATTTTGTCAGAATTCACTTAAAATATTCTACAAATACTAAGTAAAATTTTGAATTTGCATTCTTTGATTTAACAATATTACCTCTTAAATTCCCAAATATTTTCAAAATGCGGTCATTAATATTCCAACTGGTTTTCCAACTCCATTAGGGCACGGCAAATCTGCAGTCGTCGATAAACGCCAAGGATGGCCTGGGCACCGTTTCGCTGAGTGCGATCTACGCCGCCCTGGTGGTCTCCTGCATCTTCCTGCCCACGCTGATCATCCGGAAGCTGACGGTCAAGTGGACCCTCGTCTGCAGCATGCTCTGCTACGCCCCCTACATCGCCTTCCAGCTCTTCCCGCGCTTCTACACCCTGGTGCCCGCCGGCATCCTGGTCGGTATGGGCGCCGCCCCCATGTGGGCGTCCAAGGCCACCTACCTGACGCAGGTGGGGCAGGTGTACGCGAAGATTACCGAACAGGCGGTCGACGCCATTATCGTGCGATTCTTCGGCTTCTTCTTCCTGGCCTGGCAATCCGCTGAGCTCTGGGGCAATCTCATCTCCAGCTTGGGTGAGTTGGTATTGCTTAAGTTGCCTAAGTAGAAAGTAAAACCCCTAATCATCTCCCTAAGAAGCGAAATTCCCTTTTCAAGTGGGCCCATAAAAATTACGAAAAGTCACTGGGACAATCTTATCAACTCGTAAACAGTAAAACCGAAAAGATTGTGCCCGAAACTCTTAAATTAACAAAGTATTAGCTTTTGATTTTGCCAGCTACCGAAAATCATAAAACTCGCTACAATTACTGGGCGATTTTTGGTAATCTCTGATTCCAGGAAATCTAGAAAATGGCTTTTGATTAATTTCGAAAGTGCCAGAATTGAAAAGTATAATAATAATATTGTGAAATCCTAAATAGTCGGTATCCGTAAATATAGAAAATTAGAAACCATCAATTTTATTAGCTTATAAAATACAAATAGAGTAGAGCTAGAAAATTATCGATATTTTCGATATTTTTACAATATTGAATTGAAAAAATAAATAAAGAAAACACAAACAGAGTACAATTCGAAAATTATCGATATTTTCGATATCTTGACAATATCTAATCGATAAAATCAATGTTCGATATCGATAATTTTCCAGTTTTAAAAGAGAGCCTATTTTTTGATCGTTTGGGAATATTTTTTAAAGCGTTTTTTACCCCCCTTCAGTTCTCTCCAGCGGCGCCCATGGCGGCTCCAGCAGCTCGAACACGACGATCAGCGACGAGGATCTGCAGTACTGCGGCGCCAACTTCTGCACCACCGGCAACGGCGGACACGGCAACCTGGAGCGTCCGCCAGAGGACGAGATCTTCGAGATCTCGATGATCTACCTGTCCTGCATCGTGGCCGCCGTCTGCATCATTGCCTTCTTCCTCGATCCCCTCAAGCGTTACGGTGAGAAGCGCAAGGGTTCCAACTCGGCTGCCGAGCTCTCGGGCCTGCAACTGCTGTCGGCCACCTTCCGCCAGATGAAGAAGCCCAATCTGCAGCTCCTGATCCCCATCACCGTCTTCATCGGCATGGAGCAGGCCTTCATCGGCGCCGACTTCACCCAGGCCTATGTGGCCTGTGCTCTGGGAGTGAACAAGATCGGCTTCGTGATGATCTGCTTCGGCGTGGTCAATGCCCTCTGCTCGATCCTATTCGGTTCCGTGATGAAGTACATCGGCCGCACGCCCATCATTGTGCTGGGCGCAGTCGTGCACTTCACACTGATCACCGTGGAGCTGTTCTGGCGCCCCAATCCCGACAATCCCATTATCTTCTATGCGATGTCCGGGTTGTGGGGCGTCGGCGACGCAGTGTGGCAGACGCAGATCAACGGGCTGTACGGCCTGCTCTTCCGCCGCAACAAGGAGGCCGCCTTCTCCAACTACCGCCTGTGGGAGTCCGCCGGCTTCGTGATCGCCTACGCCTACGCCACCACGCTCTGCACGCAGATGAAGCTCTACATCCTGCTGGCGGTGCTCACGCTCGGCTGCATCGGCTACGTGATCGTCGAGATCCTCTACAGGAAGAAGGTGAGTGGAATGAGCATTTTATGGGGATTCTATCTATCCGGTATCCGGTATTAAAGGGATTTTTTTATTATAAAGAAATCATAGAAAGCATAGAAACTTATGCAAAAACTCCGAATTTCTTTTCAATATTTATAATATCACTTTTTTATAAATATTTATTAAATTATTTATTTTATGGATTTTTTTATTATAATGAAATCATAGACTTCATAATGCCTACCCTCGAAAATTCACTAGTAAAAACCTTGATTTTGTTTTAAATATTTAACATATCAAATTTGTATAATTATGTATTATTTGACATTTTTCATTTACCTTTCATTTTCTCCCAAAAGTCGACCAGCTTTTAATTCATAAATTGTTTATGTTCTTATGTTCTTCTTATGTACATAAGTTTATTTATTTGATCGAAAATGTTTGGGTAAATTAAAGTTATATAAAATATTTTATATATTTTCCATCTATCTACTATATATTATATTTATTTTCTAATGATCCTTGTGATTTAATAGAGATCCATCCCCTTTTGGCATATATCCCAAAAAGTAGGCCATCAATTTTGTACGCACACTAACACTCACCCATTTCCCGTTATCCTTCGCAGCAACGCAAGGTCAAGAAGCAGGAGAGGCTGGAGGCCGCCGAGAAGGAGAAGGAGGCTGCCGCCGCCGCCGCTGCCGCTGCCGCCTTGGCCGCCGCCGAGGCAGGACCCGATGGCGTCGAGGAGACCGACGACGAGCTGGACGATCTCGAGGAGGACATTGTGGTCACGCGCCTGTAAATGTTTTATTCTCCACCCCAAGGACACCCAAAAAAAACAAAATACCCCACAAGTCCCTCACACACCCCACATTCCATCAAGTTATCGATAGATAGATAGAAGGAGAGAGAGTAAATATCAGGAGCGTTATCGATTCAAATGCAAGTAAAAGACAACAAGATCTGAAAAGGAATATGGAAAAGACCTATCGATACGAGATCGATAGACAAAACGCTCCGTGATCGATAAACAATACCAACTAGCGCCGATTGAAGGCCGAAACGCGTTGCATACTTTTGTGGTTGTAGTTTTGTAGTAGAACATTTGTACCCCTCACCCCCGAAGAAACCCGCTCCTGCAAGAGAGAAACCATTTAGCTCAAAGTCCAACCGAGTTTGGCTTAACTTTAGTTTGTACATACAGAGAAGAGATCGAAAAGGGCGAAATGCTAATAAATGCAAAGGCAGTGAGAAACCCCGGAACCGGAAATGCAAAACTTTTGTGTGTTAGTCTAGGTGTAAGCACACTCGTACTTGGTTAATACGCACGCCTAATTGTCAAATATTAATTTATCGATATATTAATATCAATATATTGATACCTTATCGATAACTTAATATTTGCGATTGACGCGTTCGCATAAACTTGGTATCGCACAACCATACAAACACACGCACACACCTACACACGAGGCACACACACTGCAGCAGTGTGTGTGCTTGCGATGCCTAACAAATTGTTATTTTATTTTAAAACGTATTTTAACTATAGTCTATCCCTAAACGAAAATTGTAATTCCCTTCACTTTTTATAAATTGAGTTTCTTGTTTTTTGAAAAAAAAGAACGTGATAATTTACACACGCCCACACGAAACACAAAAACAGTCACAATTATATGAAAATAGTCAAATTTGAAAATATAAAAAAACAAAAACAAAACTGGCCTTAATGAAATATATATTTAAAAAATATATATACGATAGATCAGTGCAAAAATGAAAAACACACAAAACGAAAAGCAATTAATTAATATATAAAAATATCTTTAAATAAAAAAAAGCAAAAAATCTAGTAGGCAAAATGTTATATACACATTTTTTGCTCAGTATTATGTTTTAAACTAAATTTAAGCGAGTTATTGTTTCCTGTTTATATTTTTTTTCGTAAACCCTATTGTTACGATTTTTTGTTTTTCGATTTCGAGTTTGATTTTTTCTTCTTCTTCAACAAACTCCCTGCGATGGCAATTAAGATTAAAGAGAAATCTAATGATATACCATAAACACACATCTACAAAACGATATATATATATTTTTTTCGTTTTATTTAAACGTTTTACTTAAATATTAATGGAAAAAAAAAACACACACACACAACACATTTGTGAGAAAAAAAAAATACAATAAATATTTTTCTTTTTTTTTTTTGCTTAGCCTGTTAAGTAGTTCATTATATTATGTAAAATATATAAAATAAATAAATGAATATAAATCTAATTGAAATGAATTCTTTAACTGGGGAGAGTAAACGTGATTTGGTATTGTTCCGCACGTCACGCGGTAATTAGTTAATAGCGGGCGACACGTAAGCGCAGCTAATTTCTTATTTTTTTAAAATTTTTCTATTTAACCGACTGCTTGATACCCAGTTTGCTATTTCTCGATATTTCATTTGTGTTTTCCATTCAAAACATCGGTATTATAGAATCGGTATTGTCAAAATATCGAAAATATCGATAATTTTCAAGCTCTTTTAATTCTACATGATTTTTGGAATTTATCAAATGATTTCGTGAGTCTGGAATATTTTTAAACAATGTTGATCTACGTTTAATGATACATTTACATAAAAAGAAATAAATATGAACATAATTGGTTATTTGGGATTCAAGATTATAGCTTATTGGGTAGTGTTATCAAAGATGATTCCATTTACTAGAAGAACTGTGATCTTTTTGATTTATGCTACGAGTCGTGGGCTTCTTAGACTAGAGAGAGAGGCGGCTGCCCTCAAAGGACGATGGCCTCGTCCTCCTGGTACTGCTTGTTCTTGCGCCGCCGGTTGGACTTGATCTTGCTGAGCACACTGTACGCCTGCTGGATCTCGATGAAGCGCTGGTGGGCCTGCGGCCGCAAGCCCTCGTCCTTGACCTTGTCGGGATGGTGTTCCTTCGAGAGCCTCCTGTACGCCGCCGTGATTTCCGCCTGCGATGCGGTGGCACTGACGCCCAGAACCTTGTAAGAGTTCCGCTCGCCATCGACGTCCATGCTCTCGAAGACCTCCTTCCAGGTTTCGTACCATCCATGGTGCTGGGCATAGTTGTAGGTGTCCTGCAGCGCCTGCTTGAGGTCCGTCCACCAGGCGGAGGCCAGGAAGTTGTGGATGGCCTCGTGGATGGGCACCTCGCCGCCGTCCTCATCCGAAATGGTGCCGTTAAAGTACAGGAAGCTGGCCCAGAAGGCGCAGTAAATGATGACGGCGGTGGTGAGCTTGAAGCATCGTTCGCCTGAGGATCCGCGACGAGGAGGTGTCCTGCGCCACTGCTTGGAGACGCCGTCGAAGGTGAGGGCCGCCACCAGGCCGGTGAGGAGCAGGGAGTAGGTCTCATCGTATATAAGATACCTCGCCGGATACACCAGATAGGCGGCCAGCAGGCAGTGCCACCAGACGCCCTGCTCCCGCCCAATATTGCCCACCAGCCAGACGCCCAAGGAGACAAAGAGCGGAATGGCCCAGTGCAGGAAGCTCAGATCCCAGCCGGCGACCAGCGTCTCCGGAATGGCCATCGAGCACACCTGGCCGAACAGGTGGCCGATCATCACCTGGCCCACAAATCGCTTGGAGGAGTACGTGGGCTTCGGATGAGCCTGCAGCCTGGCCACGAATTCCCGGACGAAGCGCGGATCCTCGTTGGCATCCCGCACATACTCGGGGATCAGGAAGAGCTCGCCCATCCAGCCGATGCCCATGTAGCCGCCCAGGGTGCACCACCAGACGAAGGCATGGCGATCCCGGTGCAGGTACAGGTGGTGCAGCCCGAAGATCCCGCCGAAGAGCCAGCACAGATAGGCGATTACAACCGATTTCTGGGGCGGCAGAGCATTGGCCTCCTTGTCCTTGCCCCTGGTAACCTGGGTTTGGGTGGGATCACCATTGGACTTGGGTTTCTGCGACTTCGAGGGTGATCCGCTGGGCGAGTCGTGGCTCTTGGACTTTCCGGCGACCGGCGATACCGTTTGCTTGATGCCCATGGTGTTCTAAAAGGATTACTGTAATGAGAGAGAGTCGAAATTGGATTATAAGTGGGGTTTTAAGGGGTTTCAATGAATTTGGTTGATATAAGACCAAAACCATAGTGGTTTTTTAGTTAAAAATTCGTATTTCAAATCGTTGGGAACCATTTTCATAAAGCTGGTGTGTAATATTATGTTAAAACTATATCCTTATTTTCAAAAAACATTACTTTCCAACTAATATTATTATTCTAAATTATTATTATATTCAATAATAACTATACCCACATGAAATATAACAAATATAGTAGTTTTTTTAGGTCAGACTAAACCTTAGATCGAAATTTACCTCCTATCCAGACTCTATATTACTATAATAAATTACCCATAAGCACCATAAGCTTAAAATATCACTTTTTGGGAATTTTTAACAAAGTAGGTATAAGATATTACATTAAAACCAGGGATCGCAAGTAAGAATTACTTTTTTAAAAAAATTGACAAATAAGTCTTATTTTTCAATTTTTATTATAAAAGTTGACAAATAACTCTTATGCTTCAATTTTTATTATAAAAATCAACAAATATTTGTCAACTTTTATAATAAAAATTGAATTGAAATAACTCTTGAACTGTGGGGTACATTGGTTTAAAATTTATATATGTATAATCTACGCTTTAATACCTTTCTGTTGATATGCCATATGTCCCCAAAATATTTTTGATGATGTAAAAAATATTATTATTATAAAAAATATGTTGGGGACATATGGCATATCAACAGAAAGGTATTAAAGCGTAGATTATACATATATAAGTTTTAAACCAATGTACCCCACAGTTCAAGAGTTATTTCAATTCAATCTTTATTTTATTATAAAAGTTGACAAATAACTCTTATGCTTCAATTTTTATTATAAAACTCAACAAAATTGAAGCATAAGAGTTATTTGTCAACTTTTATAATAAAAATTGAAAAATAAGACTTATTTGTCAATTTTTTTAAAAAAGTAATTCTTACGTGCGATCCCTGATTAAAACTATATCTTTATCTAAAAAAAAACATCAATTTCAAAGAAATATTACAAATTTAAAAAAAAAAAAATTTAAAATAAAAACTTTACACACATAAAATATAACAAATATATTAGATATGGGCTGTTTACCGCATTTAAGATCACCTTGACTTGCTTTTTAGGTCAGCCAAGTGCTTAGATCGAAATTTACCGCCTATCAAGACTCTATATTACTTTAGTATATTAACCATAAGCTACTATAATATTACAGTTACAGCTAAAATATCACTTTTTGGGTCACTTTCGGCAGGAGGCACTTACCCACACTCGATCGACCTCAATTTCTTGTGAAATTGTCGCTGCGCAGGCGCAACTTCTTGGCCACGACTGTAAGTGCGGCGGAAAGAGAGGCGGAGAAAGAAGAACTTTCTCTTTTCACAAATTCTACGCACGCAGCAGCAACAACAAAAAGAACTAGTTGAACAGGAAAAAAAAACAAAAAATAATAAAACACGTTAACCGATGCGTTGAAATAGGATTCTTGGTAAAATAATAACCGAAACGAGCGAAATGAACAAACAGCAGCAAAACAAACTTGTTGTTTTGCGGGCCGAATTAAAAAATTGAATAAAAAAAAACCGAACTTGACTTTCGGCTTTGGAGGTGGAGAAACATCGGTGTCATCGATATTTTCCAAGCACCGATATTTAACAGGCAGTCATCGATGAGTCTCCCCGGATGATCTAAAATGTTATGTTTTAATTCGTTTTTAGATCACATATATTTTTTATATATATTTTTAATGAATTGCCTTTTTTATTTATTTTCAATCTAATCTAATATAGTCAATTTTTATAATTCCTATTTTTTCACTTAATTAAATCATAAAATCCACAATATTATAGAAAAGGGCCTTTAAAAATAAAATACTTTTATTGATTTTTAGATCACAAATATTTTATATATATTTTTAATTAATTGCCTTTTTCATTTATTTTCAATCTAATCTAATATAGTCAATTAGTACATTCCCTATTTTTATTTTTTTTTTTTGTATTTTATTAAATCATGAAATCCTCAATACTAAAGAAAAACGCCTTTTAAAAATGAAATACTTTTATTGATTCTCTTGTTTTGTTTTTTGTTTCGCTTAATATGGCATACTCGCATATTTAGCATGGCTTACATGTATAAAAAGAATTTAATTTGACACATTATTTTGAGCTTTTACAATAAGCTTAGCCTTAGCCTACGATTAAAGTAAAAAATAAAAATCCCTTTTGGATTACCAACTAAAATGGTTATGAGAAATTCTTGAAGGCAGGTGCCCCCTTGCGTTGTAATACTTTTCTTGAGGATTAATAAATAGACGAGGCAAAAAAAAAAGGGTTAACTTTCGTCATCCTCTTAGTTGTTCTTCTTCTTGGGCTTCTTGGGGTTGCGGGAGCGCGACTTGGCCTTGCAGAGCGGACAGATGGGCGCGTTGCGGTGGATCTGCTGGTGGCAGGACAGACAGGACTTCATGGGCGGCGGCTGCTGGCGGAGATTCACGTTGAAGTCGGAGCGGAACGAGGGATGATGGCCGATGCCGATGGCGGGCGACTGCTGCAGCCGATTGCTGGGCGGCGGCGGTGGCGGCGGAGCCGAGAAGTCGCCCTTGCCCAGACGCACTGCAGCAGCGGCCGCAGCGGCGGCGGCGGCGGCAGCACTGCCTGCGGATCCTGGTGGAGCGGGCGGCATGAAGGCATGACCGGGATTGCCACCGCCAGCTGAGCCGCCAACGGAACCACCGCCGCCTGGTCCTCCGCCGCCTCCGCCACCGCCTCCCTGGCCGCCGCCCGAGGGCAGAGCGGTCACGGTGGCCTCCGGCGGCATCAGCGGATGCCGGGCATGCGGACGGGCCAGCGAGGAGTTCTGGTTGACCGAGGCGGCCGCCGCTGCGGCAGCTGCTGCTGCTGCCGCCGCCGACTGGGCGGCCACCTTGAGGAAGTTGGTCTGGAAGCGATCCTTGGAGATCGGACTGCCCTCCTCCTCGTGCAGATCCCTCAGCGGACTCAGGCCGAGGTAGTCGCGGCGCATGTGGTCAATCTGGTACTTGAGGGCCAGGTACTCCTCGTAGACCCGATTGGCCATGTCGAAGGAGCGCGTCTGATTCTCCTTCGTCTGCTTGATGATGTTCTCCATGTCGTTGATGTCGGCGTGAATCTGACGCAGCTCCTCCACATGCGACATCTTCTCCTCGAGCAGGTGCTCCATCTCCTTGCGGTACTCCTCCAGGCACTTCTCCTCGTCGTCGCTCAGCTTCACCTCCTTGATGATCCGCACCTTGAGCTTCTCCAGCGAGAGCGTCTTGTCGCGGATGTCCTTGATGGCCTCCAGTTTGGCGTAGTAGTGGCGCTCGTTGGAGCTCGAGATCTCGCTGGTGGCCATTGTGGGCGCTCTATTTTTAATCTTGTATTATATTTATAGCTTCGACTGATTTTTCACCCCCCACTTCCCGATGGGCGAAGGGCTATTCTGCAGTGTTTCACTGGGATAATGCTTCCGGATCGGGCTGATCGGCTGCACGGCTGATCCTGGGGCCTCTAATTAAGTTAGCTTCAATTCGGGGGCAGTTATCCTGGACTTTTAATTGATTTCTTCGCTGTTTATTTGACTTTTTTCGCTGCTCTTTTGTGTATAGTAGTAGTGATGCGAGAAGGACGGCGATGTTTTCAGGGCGATGTTTGCGTTGATATCGATAGATCGATATTTTGGATTTTCAGAAATTATTTTCGAAAATCATTTCGTTAAAAAGTATTTATTATATCCCTAATATATTAATATATTAAAGAGTTGGCATGTATTTGTAATGAAAAGAGGCGACTATTTTGTTTACAACTATTTATAAATTGTAATCCTTATTTTCGTTCCTAAAAATCATTTTTAATTTAATTCCCAATCGATTAACATTAAACCGTGGAAAATAAAACCCTTTAAAAGGGTATGGTCGCACCCTAATTCCACATGGTACCAGAGATTTATAAATAAAACCTTTTCCTTTCTAATACCAAAAAAGCCCGCTTCATAAATTCACTCAATGAATACATAGGCTTATTAATTAATTAGACAAATAAAATTACAATTAAAATTAAAAAATTTTGAAAAATGGCACGTCTCCTTCAGCGATGGCAATGAAAAATACCAAGCGAACTAAAATACCGCCGTGTCTCCATGGTATATTCCAGTATACCTCCCCAGACGGTCACACTGGGGTGTCGTGTTGTTCAACAGTTAACAGTACAGTAGAGTGCATAACAAACAACAGCATAACAGCGCACTCCGCCACTGTTAAGCGCACAGGGGCGAATCTCGGTGCCTTTGGAGTCGCCACTTGGATGCGGTTGCGGATGCGGGCAGAGGATGCGGAAGCGGTGATACTAGCATGCATTCCCACACGAACGAGACGCCGGCGGCGGTGGCTGGAGCTCCGGGCGTGGTCACGAACGGAGCAGGAGGATCGGCTGCTGCCGCTGGAGGAGGAGGAGGAGGAGCACATGGCAGCACGGAGGGCAAGATCCGGTGCATCTTCCTCAGCGAGTTCGATGCGACGGCGGGCTGCAAGATAAGCTGCCAGGTGAGCCGGTTCCCAGATAATCCCGATAAGATAAACCAATTCCAATCCCACTAATAGGTTCCCGATAACTACATATCCAAGGATGTGTTCGACGCCATCAACGTGTACATCATACCCAAGCAGCACCTGCAGCGCTGCATCCTCACCGTGAACGCGATGAACGTGAAGATCGTGGGCTATCCGGTGGGCATCCAGGACCAGCAGAAATACGCCCGCAACGCCTTTCTCTTCAACTTGTGCTTCGTCTGCGACTCGCGGGCACGGAGCGTCCAGTACGAGCCGGTGGTGAAGAAGCTGTCCGAGTACCTGATCATGATGGAGGAGGAGTCATGCTTCCTGTCGCGCGAGGACGACAAGCGGCGGCTGCAGAAGATCTTCGAGACGGTGCTGCGCGATCTCAACGAGCGCAAGGTGGCCACCATTGTGGAGGGCGACAATACGATCTACCTAAAGATAGTGATGCACAAACCGGATCCACCGCCTGTCAAGGATCACATGGTGCCGCTGCTGCTGGCCAATCTGCGCGACGCTCCGCTGGACAACTGGGACCTGACCACACAGCAGATCCTGCCCTACATCAATGGGATCAATCATGTGGCCCGCATTGCCGCCGAGGCGGATGTGGAGACGGATCTGGTGAAGTCGTGCATCCAGAATTTGGTCTACTACGGCGTCGTCCAGCTGCTGCCCATCCTGAAGTACAGCAACGTCTACATGACCCAGAACCTCAAGCATCTCATCCAGAGTGCCGCGCTGAGCGGCGCCTGCCGGAAATACGTGGCCCTGCGTGCGGAGAAGACGCTGCCCAGTGTGCAGCGCATCTTCCAGTTCTACGCCTCGATGACGCACGGCGTCACCCTGCGCGCCATCTGCCAGCGCCTCTGTCCGCAGCACCACAACATCGACGAGCGGCGCATGGTGATCTTCGGGCTGCAGCATCGCTTCATCCGCTGCATCCACAAGTACCCTGTGTTCACGGGCTCCGTGCCCTCGGGACGCCAGAAGATGTACACCGGGCTGATCAGCTTCGACGAGATCTGCTGCAAGACGGGCCTCTCGCCCGGCACCATCGAGCGGGACATCGAGAAGGACACGAATGTGACTGTGATCTGGAAGTGATTGGGTCTGGGAGGTGGGACGGGTATTTGTAGGCCAACCGATTGTTATGTTTCCAATAGCTTTTTTATATACACACATGTACAAAGGGAAGATTGGTTTTAAGTGGGTTTAAGTTAAGTTGTGTTGGGTAAAAGCTGCTCATTTGGGTGAACAAGTGAACATTGTTTTTTTTTTCTCTCACTCAGTTTGCTCACTTGTTCATTTGTTTATTTGTTCATTTGTTCATTTGTTCATTTGTTCATTTGTTCACTTGTTCACTTGTTCTGTTCTGTAAAACAGAATGCAAAATGCATCCTAAAAGTAAAAAGAAATACTTTTTGTGCCAAAAACAGCAAGAGAGCCACTGAGCAAGTGAACAAAAAAGAGCAAGTAAGAGAGCAAAACTGAGCAAGTGAGCAAAAATGAACAATTCACTTAAGTGAACCATAAAGAACAAGTTCGAAGGACCATGTTCACTCACTCAGTTTGGTGAGCAACTCTTTCTCGTTCACCCACTCATGAGCAACCCAAGAACACTAAAGTCAAGCGCTGGCGAGGATGGCCTCCTGCAGCGCCTGGGCCACACAGGCGTCCTCCGAAGCCATGCCTGCAAATGGGGATTGGGATATAATATCTAAAAAAGTCAGAAATACCCAGAGATCGCGTTACCCATGGACTGGAAGATGGAGATGTCCGCTGATCCCGGATAATTTCCCTCCAGGATAACAGAACCCAGTTCGGCGGTGATCTCGGCTGGCAGACCCACCAATTCCGACTCGGCATTGGCATAGCAATCCACATAGACCTTCGAATGCTGGTAAATATCCGGAGACAGCTCCGAAAAGTGCACTTCGCCGGCACCCACAGCTAAAAAACTAGAAGGTAAGTATCTTATTTGGAAACCCTAAATCGAAACCCACCATTAATGTGAACTCCTCGATGGCTCTGTTTTAGATCTTTGCGATAGATGAGCGGCTCCTTGGCGTAGGTGGCTATGCAGATGACATCCGCTTCCTGGCAAGCTTCCCTGGCACTTGGGCTAACTATTATCTGGGTGTTACTAAACCTGGCAACCAATTCCCTTGCCAATTCCTGGGCTCTCGCCTCCGTGCGATTGTACAGACGCAGCTGCTGCACCCGAAAGTTGGCACAAAAGGCCGCCGCATGGAGTTGCCCCTGGACGCCGCAGCCCACGATGGCCACGTTGATAGGCATTTCCCGCTCGGAATGCAAACCGAAGCGCCGGAAGTACAGATATTTGGTGGCCACCAGCGAGGCGGCGACTGTGCGCCAGGTGGTCAGGTCGGTGCCCTCCATGATGGCCGAGAGTCGACCGGTTTGATGGTCGAAGAGCAGGACATGGGCATGAATGCTGGGTAAAGGGGGATTCCTCTGGTTATTCCCGCTGAACGAGGTCACCAGCTTGCAGGCCAGCGTGGAACCCAGGCTGTAATCTCCCACGAAGGCGGGCATGGTGAGCAGAATCCCTGCTCCTTCCTTGCCGCAGGCGGTGAAGCTCCTCTTCGGCTGGATGGCATAGGATGAGGATGAGGAGGTAGTCTTAACTATGGCCTTGAGGGCCGATTCCACTGCCTCGGTGACCAGCGGCCAGGTGAGAAATCGACGCACTGCCTCCGCATCGTAATAAACTGGTGGATTTCCGCTCATTTTGGTAAGTAATTAAATTTGTAAGTCAGGTAACTCTGCAGAATCTAAATTTGTACTTCTTTTTTACAATTCCTAGTTAACTAACCATAACCTATGAAATATTTACTTAGTTAAGATTAGAAGAATCTCAAAGATAACTTTACAAAATCGAGATTGTAGCTTTAAGATTAAAGATCAGCTGACCAGTGTTGCCAGTATTGGCGAAAAAGTTCAACTTTAAATTAGTTTCTTAAACAAGAAAATAATTAATTTTTAATATATTTAAGAATTTTCTTTTTATAATATTATGTTATGTTATGTTAATAATGTTTTATAATATTATATTTTTATAATATTTAATTGTTTGCTTTTGTAAAAATCTAAAAAGAAAAATGAACTAAAAAATACCGTTATTCAGTTCATCAATGGAATTGCGGCAAAATTCAAATTTGTAATTAACAGGTAAAGTAACTAGATGAAACACTGTTGTAAAAATTGGAAATACAACTAAAGGTTGGCGGTCAGTTTTAATCAGGAAAGAAAGACCTTTATAAGTGAAAAACCAACCAAAAACCAATTTTCACGGCCGACTGTTTTTTCCTCATTTCTAATGCAGTTTTCCCCATTCTTCGGCGTCGCTGGGAAAATGCATTTTCACCGCACGCCAAGGGCGAAACCGCGAAATCGGCTCAAAAAAGGGAAACCGCTTCTGTCAACGGCTTTATCGCGCTGAAATGATTCTCGCAAACAGCTGGAAACTGAACCACATCCACATTCACATTCGCAGCCACCTCGTCCAATCCAAACCAATTCAAAAGGCCCAACAACCGACACGAAAGTGAAAAGCGAATGCACTTTTCCGCGGCTGCAGCTGATAGGAAAAATTAATTTATGTATGCCCCGCCATTGTTTCGCCCGGGCCATCTCATTTTCCCAGCCGCTAATTCAAATTTTGACATAATTTCTTCACTGTTCGCCTCCGTCGCCTGCTTTCTCGCCTTTGTCCCAACTCCCAGCCAATTTCACTTGACTTGACCTTTGCGAGGGGGTTTTCTATAGGTTTTCATGCACTAACCAAAAAGAAAAAAATAACGAAAAAATCATTGCAAATGTCCCGAACGCATTTTGAATGAAGATTAGAACGAAGATTGTAAAGTGCATCGAAACCATTTTATAATGACTTCATATAAAAATCTTATTAATATTCAAATATTTAAAAATATTGCAATTATTTTTACAAAACTTGACCATTAAAGATATTCCAAAAAATGACTTTAAAATATAATTTTGATCTAGTTTTTAGTCAATTATACTTGCTGAATATCAGTTATCACTATATCGGTTTTTATTATATAATATTTATAATAATGTTATATTTTACAAAACTTGCTTACAAAAAATTTAACCAGTTCCTGAGTTTTAGTCGGTTTTTAAAATTATAATTTTAATGGGCTCCAATAATGAAATATTTAATGCAAAGCTTTCTTTGCATTGTTAAATAACAAACAATTCTTATTATTATTATTGAGATTATTAGTTAGTTACTTATATGATATTAATTAATTATTTATTTATTTCTTAGTGCATGGGCTTGGATTTCGGGTGGGTCCGGACTCCGGGGCCTTTTGTTGCGGTTATGTGGTGGCGGCCTTGGGAATGTGCAGTTGCTGGCTGATTTATATTCGCCCCGGAGTGCCACAAATCAAAGTCGAGCTGCTGCCGCTGCTGACTCATTGGAGTGGCTCCTGGTTTGCCGAGCTGCGACCTGTTGCATGCCCCACTCCTGGAATCACCGCCAGAACTAACAGAACTGCCAGAACCACCAATCGCACCACCGGCAGCACCACTTCTAAGTGTTCTGACCTTGCTGGCGGGTAAGTGGCTGGCCATAAATTTTGGCATTGCGCAAAAGCCACCGCCAGCAGGCTGCTGCTGCAAAAACGCCCCGATTCCGATTTCGATTCCAATCCCAAGAATCCATATCCGAAAAGTGAATTGTCGCCGACGCTTTGAATAAATTGCTAAACGATTTGGCAAGCGCCAAAATGTAATGGCCAAAAAGGATTTCGGCTCGGTGAGCATAAATTTGCGGGCCAAAATCAATGACGAGGCGTACTCTGATTGCATTTATTGGCCAACTGCATATAAGGTGCTGCTTGGATGGGGAGGATATCTACACTAATTAGAACTGTGGTGTACATAAAATAAATCAAAGGTTCTAGTTTTTGGATATTTTAAATATTTATTTCCCTGTTTTTAAAGGAATGTTATTTAAGTACTTTGTATTATGTATTTATTTATTATACCTTATTGATTGATATGATGATAATATAAATCAAATGCACTAATTCAAGGAATATTATTCACTATTATTATATTATAAATAAAATCAGTGTCTTAATGATTTGAAATGATGATATAAATTATCTTTACTGTTATAAATATTTATATTAATAAATATTTAAATTATATATTTTAAGAGTTAATCGCATAAATTTAAAAATAATTTAAAAGGATTTTAAAAAAACTTTAAGATACATTTTCTAAAACTTCGCCTTCAAGTTGGCTGAAAAGCCAACACACAAATGTTTCATTTTCATGTCATTTTCGCTGGCGGCTTTTGAAATTGTAACGGTAAGTGTAATAGTTATAGTAACAGTAACTGTAATAGTAATGGCAATAGTCTACTAAAACTAAACCACACACAGAAACAGAACGTTGCCACACCTTTTCTTCGTAGAGCTGGATTATAATTTTTTACTGCCTTATTTTTGCCTAGTCTTTAGTTTTGTATTTTTGTTATTGTTTTAGTGCGCGCCCGCACACTTGGCCAACACAGATACACACTCACACCAGCGCAGGCCGTAGGTTAGAAAAAGGAAAGTCGGCTAGCGCGAAAAACTGAGAGCCAAAGTTTCGTATTTTGTATTTTGTAGATCAATCTTGGAATGGGTTTGTGCCGTTAGCCGCCGGCGACGTCGTCGCTCACTAAAATGTTGTTTGTCCTTGGAGAATGTGGCAAAAAAGATAGAAAAATGCTATGGAAAAAAATTGTAAAATTATAATATACATATGCGCACTGTTACCGTTGGAAGTGCACGTGGAAAAAATCGTTGTTTTATTCTTCTAATAATAACCCTTAAAAAAGGAGTGCTAACAACTGTTCTAGTTCAAAATATATTAGAATAAGATTTGTTGAACCTGTTCATTTGATTTATAATTTTTAAAGGCTTTTGTGGTTTTACATTGGTATCATTAGAATAGATAAAAATATTATTTAATTTTATACAAAAATAAAATGTAAAACATAAAACATAGTGAATCCACATTTTAGTTAAAGTAAAGATAAAATTTAGAGTATATCAACTGAATATTTTGTTACCTTGCTAGAAAAGTTTTTTTATTACACAAATTTCTTAAAACTAGCTAGAAAAATTCAAAATATTGATCAACAAATTCGAATTAATTTTTGAATACTTTTTTATACAAAAAAATAAATACGGAGTCTTCTTCGTGATATTTTCTTTCAGTGCTGCGATATATGTGTGCACATATCTGACGACGACTATAATTGTGCCGTTATGTTTAGCGTTGGCGCCGCACCCAATGGACTCCACTGAGCTGCCCGCTCCCGTTCCCCCACCCCCCACCATACAATCCCTCCTCCCATTACCGCCCCCGCCCACCCGATTCCCCACCCCCCGCCAACCACCACCCGCTCCACCAATTAGATTCGATCGGCAGTATTATTTCTTGTTATTGTTGTCCGACTCATTGCAGCCATTGCCTTAGTTTGCCTTTGTCTAATGATTTCGATTATTGGTTTGTTTTATTTTCCTCCTTTTTCTCTGGTTTTCAATATATTTTTTTTTTTTTTTTTGCATTTTACAACTTCCGTCTGTGCACTTTGCATTGAGCTAAAACGGCTAGAATGACAACAAATGCAAATTGGGAACGAAATGAAGTAAAAACTGTAGCAAGTGGTACTTGGTTGAAATGTAACTAAATTTTTAAGACATTTTTAGAAAGTACTAATTATAACCTTGCAGGGGTAATATAATTTCAGTCAGATGTTTGCAACGTAGTGAAGAAGACGTTTCCAACCACATAAAGAATATATATTATTCTTGATTAGCACCGTTAGCCGAGTGCAGTTTTTAGGCCAAAACAATCTATATATTGACTCAAATATGGATTGTCATACCTTTCTGAACTTGTTATTAAATTTCCTAACGATTGGCATTTAAACCTTGACATTTTATGTATTTTTAATTTTTCGCAAAAAATCATGGGGTACCCCCTTATACAAAAATTAAAAATTGGCGAAAATTTTATTTTTCCAAAATTACACAGAAAGTTTTATGGATTTATAGCAAATTTTGTTATCTGTTCAAAACAGTATGAATTTTTGGTGTAGGACCATTTTTGGCCAAGTTACAGCAAAAAAACCAAAAGAAAAAATTCCTATTTTTGTCAAAAACTGAAATCGCGAATTTCCAAAAAAAAACAAAGCCCGTTTTTTCGCTAAAACGTTGCAGTTTTTTCGCTATAACAAAGCAAATACTGATTCAAAGTATGGATTTTCATACCTTTCTGAACTCGTCATTAAATTTCCTAACGATTGGCATTTAAACCTTGACAATTTATTCATTTTTAATTTTTCGCAAAAAATCATGGGGTACCCCCTTATAAAAAAATTAAAAATTGGCGAAAATTTTGTTTTTCCAAAATTACACGGAAAGTTTTACGGATTTATAGCAAATTTTGTTATCTGTTCAAAACAGTATGATTTTTTGGTGTAGGACCATTTTTGGCCAAGTTACAGCAAAAAAACCAAAAGAAAAAATTCCTATTTTTGTCAAAAACTGAAATCGCGAATTTCCAAAAAAAAACAAAGCCCGTTTTTTCGCTAAAACGTTGCAGTTTTTTCGCTATAACAAAGCAAATACTGATTCAAAGTATGGATTTTCATACCTTTCTGAACTCGTCATTAAATTTCCTAACGATTGGCATTTAAACCTTGACAATTTATTCATTTTTAATTTTTCGCAAAAAATCATGGGGTACCCCCTTATAAAAAAATTAAAAATTGGCGAAAATTTTGTTTTTCCAAAATTACACGGAAAGTTTTACGGATTTATAGCTAATTTTGTTATCTGTTCAAAACAGTATGAATTTTTGGTGTAGGACCAT